TGACTAGAGGTGTATCAGGCCCCTAGGTGATGAAAATCCTGACTCATGGCCCGATCGCCCAGGCCGTTCTTGAGTTATAGCCAAAATACCGTTTTTTTCCGCGAGTCTCAGCAGTTTTTCGGCTTTCGGCTTTCTTTTCGACTTCCGGCTCTGAATCACCAATTTCGCTTAATATCGATGGAAATTTTGCCTGCAAAAATTGTTGTTGAAATCAGCGGTTATTGGATTAATTTTGTCAAGAAAAATTTCTGGGGGCTTGCCGCTTCATTTTCACTTAATATTTTATGGGTCGATACCGACGAAAACCCTATGAAAAATGGATAACAAAATTTATTTTTGTTATATCTCGAAAACTACTGTAGCTGGCAACTAAGTCAACATTGTGGTTATTTAGGGTCTGACCAGGGGTGGTACCAAAGCTCCATAACCACCGTGGTTAAAATTTAACCACCATGGTTAAATTATAACCACCCATAGTTAAAATTTTACCACCCATGGTTAAATTTTAACCGCCCAAAACCAATGGTAAAAAGCTAACTTTTGGAGGATGGTTTCTACGACAATCTAGAGGTCTAGAAAGATCGCAAAATTCACGGATAGGTTTCTTCAAAGGCTTGATCGAATACCGCTAACCTTTTCTTGGTACAATATTTGCAAGCGGCTAGAAAGGGGCTTGGAAATTTAACCACTATGGTTTAAACATAACCACCCATAGTTAAATTTTAACCATCCATGGTTAAGTATTAACCACCCATGGTTTAATTTTAACCATAGGTGGTTAAACATTAACCATCGAGGGCCAAAACCAAAAAAGTTAACCACCCAAAAAGTAATACTTTTTATAAACCCTACTAAAAATTTCTCCGAAATCCAAACTCACCAATAAGATAAATATGGTTTCTTTAGACGATATTCTAGCATGTGTTAAAGATATTAGGGCCGTAGATGGTGGTTTATGGGCATAAAAGTCGCCTCAAAAATTTAACCACCCACGGTTAAATATTTCGTGAAAACGTTTTCACGAAACATATAACCACCCTAGTTAAATTTTTTTAGGATAAAGTTAGCCACCTCCCGGCTTCGGATGGCAAACATTTTCATCAAAGATTAAAACGGAAGCACTCCGCCGCCCCTTTTTTGATATTCTCTCTTTAGACATCACTCCCCAATCATCGTTTCGATAAATCCGCATATTTTGGATACTTTGTTACCACGAGGTTTGGCATTAATAACAAGTAACTTGGGAAGCCGTTTTCCTAAGGGTAGCGCACCAGGCTTTTGGCCACGTCTACCTTTCGTATAGTGTAACTTATCCTATTTGAAATTAGGAAATCATCATTTTTTTCGAAAAATCTCCGCGTTTCGCCGGCGGGTCGCGCATTGATATGGGACGGCTCTATAAAGAAACATAGGCCATTTTTATAGTATTTTATACTCTTTTATACTCTTTTTAGATATAAAAATCCGAAAAACTTATAACATTGCTTGAGAGAATTTGGACTCGTTGGTCAAAATTGTATGAAAAATGGCCAAAAAAGCTCAAAATGTTCAAATTTTCAAAATATCTAAAAATGTTTTTTTTATCTATAACTTCCTAGCAACCAAAATCTACTAAATACATTATAAACATGGTCTACATTTTCGGAACGCACCCAAAAGACTGAATACACTCGGGAGTCCCATTTCGATTCCGGGAGGGCCCTGGGAAGGCAGTCACTTTATACATAGTCTCACGGATGGTTTAGAAAGCGATAAATTGGGTTCACGCTACTTTCTTCCAAAGAATTTCTATCGATATACGAGATAAATTGATTTTGGATGGGTGGTTAAATTTTTTCGTGCTAGGTGGTTAAATTTTAACCATGGGTAGTTACAATTTAACCATGGGTAGTTACAATTTAACCATGGGTGGTTAAATTTTAACCAGGGTAGTTAAATCAGGGTGGTTAAATCTACTTTGGTACCACCCCAGGGTTGAAAAGCCGCTACGCGGCTTTTCACCCCTGGCCTTTGCGCGGGGATCTTAAGACTTTGCGCACTTTGCATAATTCTGACGAATTAGTGCCAACCTTAATAATCACAAAAGCGACCGACCGAGAGCGTGACAAAATCCAAAATGAGCATCCTAGCGCCTCGTATGCAAATGAGGGAATTTCCATGTGTTTTAAAAACACTAAAATAGGGTATAAATCGTCATTTTCTTAAAAATCTGATAAGCATGCAGTAGTCTACGCCCTCGAATACCCCTAAATACCTTTCGACTGGGCCCGAAAACCCTTACCCCCTTCCCGATATCTTGGTAACCCGGTTTTTTCGAGTCATTTATGCAAAGTGTCCACAGACACACACACAGACACTACTTTTTTATATATAGTAGGATTATATATAGTAGGATACAGCTCTGGCTCAATTTTGGGACCGTAGGTTTGATTTGTAGGGTGCCATCAACCGGTGGACCAGTTGATATCACGAAAACTGGCTTGTAGATAGTCCCTCTTTGTCGAATCGACAGGAGTGGGCTATGGGTGGGGGGGGGGGTGGCTTTTGTGGATTTCGACGGTATTTGAGGGCGAAGAATAGCTCGCGAGGCTCGCAGTCGTTTAATCGCCCAGGTGTGGGGGGGAGACCGTGGACGGTAGACAGGAAGGATTAGGACGGGTAAGGGGGATCTCCACCGACCCTCCAGCTACCACATCCTCAAACCTATCTCTAGACCTTTCCACACAGCTACTCGATGGCATCAAGAGCTTGGCAAGCCGCGTTTTTACTACTTATGATCGCCATACGGGCCGATTCTCTGTTTTTCGGTGGTGAGCCTTTTTTTAGGTTCGAGTGCAGTTTACCCCAAGCCGGCGTCCAACTTTTGTATCTCGGGTCCCAGTTTGTCTACAGGCGTGTGCAAGTATACCACAATGTGCGTCTCGCTCTGGCGAGTATTTTGGTATACTTTACTGCTCTGTGTAATAACGGGGAGTCGAGTTACGGTAGGCGGAGTCGGTTGGGGGAGGAGGAGGGAACTGTCTTGTCGTCGATTAGCATGCTCAGGAATTTTCAAAATTATTTCTTCAAACTTACAGGCGGATGTGGAAGCACCTGTTCGTGCCCCCAGCCCCAGTGTCCACAGGTCCAAAAATGCGTGGCCCATCCTCCATGCCCAGCTCTATTTCCGCCTCCGCCACCACCGCCGCCAGTGCCGAGTAAGCGCAAATTTTTGCAGGCCGAGCTTGCTGAACATTTGGCATCTAGCTGAGTGGATTTGCACGCATCTTAAAGAAAAACCTACCTACTTAAAAAAACCCGAATTTTAAGCTATCTTTATAGGCTGCCAGTCCACTTGCTTCCCGGCGTACCAAATCTCCAACTCGGTACCGGCGCCCAGCCTGCCAGAGCCTTACAGTTTCTTTGAGGTGACTTCATGTCTGGGCTGAAACATTTTCTAGGCTCCGCCAATTGGCAAGCCGGCGGTTACCGTGGTCCCCCTGCCGGCGGCTCCCGGGCCGAAGCCCCTGGAGTTGACGCTACCACCAATGGTCGCACTTCCGACCCCCGAGTATGCTCAGGTGAGTGAAAGAAGCTTGGCTTGGTAAGCCTCAAAAATAGGTATTCTAGATCATGCTTATGCTTAAGCTTAGGTTAGGTTAAGGTTAGACTCACGCACGTGGACGAAGTGGAATTTCGCAAAACCCTCGCGGCTACCCCCGGGTTATCGACTATGGAGAACACGATGCCGTTGTCCAATTTTCCTGCGGAGGCCTGTGGACACAGATACAGCACTTCCGGAAAATGACGATTTGCATGCGAAAAATTAGAATCCGGAGAAGCTTTATTAGGCTCGCTCATCAGTATGGAATCACCGGTCGAATGGTCGATTGGTAAGCAACTCGCTTGATAGGATACTGACGAGGGTACGGATCCTCTGACGATTTTTTCGTTTTACTTTTTGACAGGAAATTTTGCACAAGTCCAGAATCTCCTTGATATCTCCCACCAAAAAAAATGGAAATTAAAAAATATTCGCGTGAATGGGCAGCGATCCTCCCATCAGGCGAAAGTTTCCTAAAGTTTGTGAAAGTATTTTAGATTTGGTTAGTCTGCAATAACGTACGTATTAATTAAAAAGTTATAGCTATCGCGGCAAAACCAGCAATGAAACCTTGTTCGAAAGCCACTGGTCAAAAAGCAAAACGAAAAAATCGTCAGAGGATCCGTACCCTCGTCAGTATCCTATCAAGCGAGTTGCTTACCAATCGACCATTCGACCGGTGATTCCATACTGATGAGCGAGCCTAATAAAGCTTCCGCGGATTCTAATTTTTCGCATGTAAATCGTCATTTTCCGGAAGTGCTGTATCTCTGTCCACAGGCCTCCGCAGGAAAATCGGACAACGGCATCGTGTTCTCCATAGTCGATAACCCGGGGGTAGCCGCGAGGGTTTTGCGAAATTCCACTTCGTCCACGTGCCCTTCCCTTGTCAGGCTTAGGCTTAGGCTTAGGCTTAGGCGTTGTCTTAGGCTTGGCTTAGACTTGGACTTGGGCTTAGGCTAGGCTTCGGCCGAGGCTAAGGCGCTAAGCCTTCTTGTGGGTGACGATTGACCCCTCCGAACTATTTTCACGCCACCTAAAAGTTCAGGCCCTTCCTTCTCCCTTGTCTCCCCCACCATCACTGATTTCTCTCAACGAGGCTGGACGAGCCGTCGAGACGAATGAGGTCGCACCAGGTATCCAGGCTCGAAAGACATTTCCTTTTTTTGCTTACAGAATCGCCCTTCCAAAGCGCATACGTAGAGGAGACAGCGCCTACGTTGCTACCACCAACGACCCAGGAAAGTTTGGGCCTACACAGTTCTGCCACCGACTACACTGAAATGATGCACTCTGGGACTGCCAGGCCACGACCCGTTTGTAAGTTGGTGCGGGGCCTTTCGTCCCCGGGGTCCCGCCATGGCTACCAGTTCGTTTAGCGACCATTACTCCGGATGAAGAGGATGATCGAATCTACGCTAAGGATGGCGAAGTGAAGTAAGCCATAGTTGCAGTTTGTTCATGAAATCTGTCAGGTCACCACAATCACCGGGGGTGCCCGACGATATCGCATTCAGCCCGTACTTCAGAGGTTCGCACTCGCCGAGGAGCGTGAGCGCTGATGAATCGGAATCCCTCGACGACATGGGCTCCTCAGAGACGGTAAAGTGTGGCTGGGATCGTCCGCCAAAAGTAGTTCAGCGTGTTATTGAGGGCTACCCGACACTGTTTCGACGAAAATTCTGGTTTTTTTGGGGCCTGCTCAGCTTCTGCTCAGCTCTTTCGTATGATCGGGGGTCCACCTTTTTTCTTAGAATACCAGGGTTGAAAAACCGCTTCGCGGCTTTTCAACCCTGGCCCCGTCCAGGACCTGTGAAAGTGCTTAATTTGCATGTGTCTTCCTGAATTCTAGCAAGAAAAAAGTGAAAAACGGCTCCTCTGTCCCTTTATATAGGCTCTTCCCACTTCCGGCGCATGCTAATTTCCCCTAACAAACCGGGTTTTACAATAACCTATTTTTAATAGCGAAAACCACAATTTTTCAAAATTTTTATGTGTGTGCAGTCGATTCCGGACCATTCTAAACCTATTGTCGTTTCTTCCCCTATCCAAAAAACCCTTCCCCGAGGCTGTAGGAGCGGAACATCCTAACGGAAGTGCATGCAAATATACACACACACACACACAAACACTATTTTTTTATATATAGTAGGATAACTTTTCCAATACAAATAGTAGAAGTGTCTCTAAAAAGTTTCTGGTTTTTTACTATGCCTGACGTAAAAATTTTACAAATTTCTATTCGAAACATCCAAAATATCGATATTTCGACCGAAAATGGCCGAATTTTGACCAAAATATCGGTTTTTTCAAAAGCTTTTAGATAGTTTTTCTAGTTAAACTATAGTTATCTATAACTGAAAAACTGTTAAAACACGTTATATATTAGACATTTCTAGACTTACACAAAAAGCCCCCCCGGATAATGCGCAAGAACCGAATCCTTAAATAAATTACTGATACCATTGATTACTTAATATCGTACCGTACTTGTGACCAACTGGAATCAAAAATTAGCGAACACTCAAATTCGAGCTGTTCTGTTAAAAAATCTTCGAGCCACTGCCCCACCACCAGTACCGTGTGACATCATTATTCAGTCGGCGCGCCAGCATGCGTCTAGTACCGTCCAGCGCACGACAACGACATGCAATTCGGACAAACTGGCCCGTGTGATGGCTGAGGTGGGAGAGATTGTGATGCTATTAAAACGCGTTGTTGTCCATTTTCCAGGCCATCACGCCAGATGTGTCCGTGGCAAAGAAGGCGGTCCAGCGGGCCACTGAACTCGCCTTCAGTGGAAGCAAATTTGACGTGTTCTGCGCAAATGGCGAATTTAGTTACAGCATCCACTCTAGGTATGGTTTTCAGCATCGGCAAGGTGTTGATTTGTTTGCAGAAAATACTGTGAGGCGACGAGAGGTGAAGTGACCTGCTTCGCGTTCCGCTAAGACCGCCGAGATGGGAAATATTTATTGCTCAAAAGGAGAAAATTATTTATATTGTTCACCGCCACTTCAACCGATAAATTTATTACTCGAATCATCATTTGTAAGAATCATCATTTCCGGCTGATTTAAATAATTGCGTTTAATCGGGTTTTAACGTGGTTCAGGGCTCAGAAGCGATGCGAGGGATGCCAGTCGATGCCACTGTCGAGTTCCGGCTGAAAATTAAAATGGGAAATTGCGTTACACTAAATTAAGTTCAGGTTCTTTCGCGTTATCGGGGGGGCTGGGAGTTTTTCGGGAGAAACCGATCTTTACTAGAAAAACGAGAAATGCCTATTAACTTAATAGAAAGTGTTTTAATCGCGTCTTTATTAATACGTAACTATAATCCGAAAATCAGAAAAATTATCCGAAAACTTCTAAAAAAGTAAAATTTTGGCCAAAAGTCTATATTTTTGATATTTTTTAAGACAAAATTTGAAAGTTTTCGCGTTTAGGGATAGTAAAAAACCCATTGATAGAGACCTCTACGATCTATATTTGAACAATAGGTATTGGTACCCCCGATAATGTGAACAATTCGAAAAATGCATTAAGGGTGATAAATTTTCAAAGTTGAGGCAAAGCAAGCTTTTATGGGCGAAGCCACGAACCTGGCTAGAGCCACCAAGGTAGGTGAGTGGCGAAACCAGCTCATCATACTCGAAGAATGGCTGAAACGGGGTCGTGTTGGCGAGCCGCGTCGCACTTATGGTAGACGATATCCGTCATTACCAACCATCTTTCCCGGTTTCTCCACGCGGAACGACATGGCCGCCGACGGAGGACTGGCGGCTGTCGCCTCCTTTAGGAACGCTTCATAGGGTTGCCTATAATTGAAGTATTTTGACCGCGACGCCGCAGAACTGACTTGTAGGAACAGATCAGCCCGCGCCCGTGGTGCTGCATCGCGTAGAAGCCCACCGGGTCAGTCACGAAGATGACTAAACGTTGAGTAAGAAATGAGCAGGCTACAGTCTAGCTTACCCCTTCCCCCTAGTCATCCTATTAATGCGGCAAGTAGCGAAAAATATTGAATCTTTTTTGAGAAAAAGAAACGTACAGCAGTTTTAGAAGCAAGATGTGGTTCTGAACTGTTAACGGGGGGACCAATTTTGTATAACTTTCTAGCAATCAAAAACTACTAAAACGCTATGAAAATACATACGGTTAGAGTTCAGTTTACCCCCCCCCCCCAGCCGGCGCCCAACTTTTGTATCTCGGCTCCCGGTTCATCTACAGGTGTGTAAAGTATACCAAAATTTTCGCCTTGCTCTGGCTAGTATTTTTGTAGACTTTAAGCAACTGTAGATGAACAGGGAGCCGAGATACGGTAGGTGGGTGCCGGCTGGGCGCGGGGGGGGGGCGTAAATTGCGCTTAGGCCATAAATAATATATCATCAACAGGTAGGTAAAAAAAGAAGGTGGTTTCACCCCTGTTAAAAATCCCCCGCCGCTAGCAGTCCAGAACCGCAGGTGTTTCGAAGCGCTACCGGTGCCTGAATGATGGGCAGCAATGCGGCGCATCAGGCCCCGCTTCTCGGCGGCGACTTGAGCGGGGGCCAGACCCCCGGTCTGGTGGTTCCACTCGAGACGACCGCCCATCGGCCTAACATTTCATTGGAGTGTTGAGCAAGATGCGCACTTGTATTCCTCGTCGATGTTGTACCCAAGAGCCTGCAGCGCAGCGGTCGGCATCCAGTAGTTCTAAACTGTCACAGTACCTTTGAATGATTTGACCGAGATACGGTAGGTGGGGGTCGGCTGGGGGGGGGGGGAGTAAACTGCACTTAAGCCACCAATTTTTTGTATCTGCACCTACTTCGGAACCATAAGCAGACGAGAGCATCGGTTCGATGCGAAGCGGCCTCGCCTGGCTGTTATTGGGCGTGGACCGAACACTACAACCCCTACCCGAGCAGCCCCTGCAAGACCTTGGCCGTCTGCAGGCACACCAGAGCCGGTGACGTGTAGATCGTTTGAGGCTGGATCCGAAAAAAGTACAGTGATGTCAAATGGGAACCTTGTAGCGGCGGGCCACCAGCTGGCGCCCGAGCAGCTGCGCCGAAATGAGCCCAAATCCACAGGAAGCGAGTATGGATTACTCGACTTGGTAATAGAACCTCGCTAGCCGGCGGATCGTTCTCGTAGGCGAGACGCATGTCAGGGCGACGCGGCAACTCGTAAGGCACGTTCTAAATCTTCAGTAAATTTTGGGTTCTTTCGCATTATCGGGGGGGTGGGTCTATTTTCGCATATTGTATGGGTCTAGAAACGCCCAGTAACTTACTATACAGTCTTTTAATAGTGTTTTAGCAATATATAACTATATTTCAACTAGAAAAAATCAGGGTAAAACTTTAAAAAGCTGAAAATTTGGTCAGAAATCGGCCGTTTTCGCTGGAAACTCGATCATTGTGATGTTTTTTCATACAATTTGTAGTTTTCACTTTTAGGAATCTTAAAAACCCATTTAGAATCACTTCCACCATTTAAATTTGAAAACTGAGATCCGAAGAAAAATTTAATCCCCCTATAGTGGGTCACAAGAGCCAACTTTGTTACAGGTAAAAGAGCTGATTTAAACCTTCGGTTCTGTTCTATTTCCGCGGGGAAAAACT